ACAGGCACACTTACACACATGCAGGCAATACACTCATATACATAAAATAAAAATAATAAATTAATTAAAAAGAAAAAGTACACTTGAACCTGGGCCTGAAAGCCTGAAACTATTGACTCCACAGCAGAGTGAAAGCCTGCAGAGGTGGAACTGCCCTGCATAGATGGAACCCGCCCTGAATAGACGGAACATGCCCTGCTCTTCAAAGACAGCTTCCCAATTAGATCATTTGAATAGCATGATCCAACCACACTGGAAGAAAATAGGTAACCCTAGACTTTTTCATGTATGAATCAGCAAATTATTTTGATTAAAGCTGGCTTCGTTCTTACTATTATTTATGAGAAAAAGCTGCTAACACTCATTAAGAAAAACAGCACAATGTGATGAATCATACCTGTAATTCCAGCACTTGAGAGGTAGAGGTGTAAGGTTCAAATGCTCAAGGTCATCCAGGGCTACACAGTAAGTTCAAAACCAGCCTGGGCTACATAAGATTCTGCCTGACTCAGAAAAAAATTTAAGGTTTATTTCCTAAGTACCAAATGGGTTTCCAAAGTAACTATACCACTGTATTCCCATCAGCAATGGCAGGACTTCTAGTTGCTCCATATCCTCCCCAACACTTGATATTATCAATCTAACTTAGCTAGTCCAGTAGGTATGTGTTTGTCTCAATTTGCCTTTTTTTAACAACTGATGTTAGCATTTTTGCATGCTTATTTATTGTTTATATTTTTTCACATGGAAGTGTGAGTATAAACATTCTGTTGTTTTTATTGGGTTATTTACCATTTTATTCCTGATTATAAGAGTTTTTTAAATATATGTTCTGGATTCAAGTATCAGATACGTGTTTTGTAAATATTCCCCCAGTCTGTCACTTGCTTTTTTGTTTTCTTGGTAGATTTACATGGGTAAGAAGGTAAGATCACCAACAAAGAGATCACCTCACTAGGCGTGAGGGTAGCCATGCAAGTAGTCAGTAAATATGGTAGAGTCAGGAGGGACAAGCATTCTGAGACAGGCAGAGGTGTGTCCATAAGCAGTGGGAGCTACGGAACATTCTTGACAGTGGAGTAGCATGATAAAAGTGATCATTCTCTTGAGAGGAGCATGGGAAGACAGAGGGGGGATGCAAGAGAGGCAGAGAGGCCACCTAGAAAGCTGTTAGGAAGCTCAGGGGTAGGAGAGTGTAGACTGTAATCCTGGCAGTGTGAAATGAGGGAACAAAGTACTGATACTGTGTTTTAAAGTGAGAAAACAGAAGGCACTCTGACCTACTAAATAAGAGATCAAGATGAGGAAGAAGCAAGCAGCACAAAAAATGTATGTTGGGATATTTAGGCCCAGATATGAGTGATGGTTTTACCAAGGTCACACGGCAAGCTGGCAGAAGACTCCAAGGCCATCTAAATCACCGGGGGACCTTGCTATTTCTGCTACAGTATGGGGCCTTGGAACTCTAAGGCCAAAGGTCTCTGTCGAGGATGGCATCTCAACATAAAAACCTGCTGGAAATGAAGCCTACTCCCTTCCTCCTCTTTTGGCTTCTCTGCCCTCACACCCACCTCCACCCCCTGAGTTAAAGAAGAAACTCAACAATGAATACTTTCTTGCATGTCTTTTTCTCCACCCACATTTTTTTTTTATTCTTTGACCCACACATACCATGAGCAATTTTATGAGGTAAATCCACATTCTCCTTACTGGGATAAATATCAAATTAGAACTACCGCATGTAGCCATATGGTGTATTTCAGAGTGCAATGTTGAGGGGCGGGGAAGCAAGCTGCATAATGGCATCATTTTGTTTCGGTTTAAAAATCTACAGTTTCTTTGCAATGTTTGAGTGTACGTGACTATGAACTGAGAACACAAAGCCACTGAACTCATGGAAGTGGTTAACTTTGGTGAGAGAGAAAGGGAATCAGATAGGAAAGCGCATCCAGGGGACCCTAATTTGTAATGTTTTTACTTCTGCAAAAAAAAAAAAGTGAAGGAAATAAAGAAGTTCTGATGTCAACAGGGCACAAAATAGAAATGTGTTAGAGTAGATGGTACATTCATTATCCCAACACTGTATGATCACTGTGTTAAAAATTCCTTGCCATTCTTTTAAATTCAAAGGGATATATATTTTTTACTGTGGGTATTCCCCCATATTATATAACCTGTTATTATTATATCACTGAGTCAGACTTAACAGAACAGCCTGTAAAGAGAGTAACAGTGTTCACAAATGTCTCTACATCTTCTATATAAGAATCCCCCACACACAAAAAAAAAAAAAAAAAAGTGTGGAAGACAAGGGATAAGTGCTAGCAGCTTCTGACATGGCTTTCTCTGTGATCTGAAGAGAGCACTTGTTACCAGAAACTCGCAGGTGGGGCAAGTTGGAGGTGCTGGTAACTAATCAGGACCTGCCCTCTCACCATGTGCTAGTGGGAGATTTCTGCTGCAGTGAGAAACATCACCAGGGGGAGCCGATGCTGCCAGTAGGGTCTACATGGGAGAACACAGCTTGCTGGGCATTCGTGCCAGCCTTAGTTACTGCTTCACACCAGGGCAAACCCAGGCAGCTGCCCGGGGCACCATACTATCTTGAGCCATCCCTCTTTCCTCCTTTACCCTCAAGGACAATGTGTTTTGTCTTCATTATTGACTCCCACTTTGACAGACAGTAGCAGAAGCAGTCAAAGCAAAAGAACACAGACCTCTCTGCAGACATCTTGCAGTAGAGAATTATAAAGTAAGGATGAGGTGTGGTACATATCAGCTAACAATAGAACAGCTTGCCATCACTGAGAGTCATCAGAAACCAGGAAAACACACACACACACACACACACACACACGCACACGCACACGCACACGCACACGCACACGCAGTCCCAGCTAATCTCATTGTCTCATCTGATCTTCTCCAGAGTTCCCTGTGATTGGAATCACAATACAATGACACACTACCAGAAAACTGAGGGTCAAAGATCCTAGCGATTGCCCAAGGTCACATAGCTATTAAGTAACTCTGAGATGCATCTCAAGTTGTGACATTTCCCTAAGATAGACGGGGAATTAGGTCGGAAATATTTACACCATCTGGCCTTAGATACACCCTCCCTCAAGAAAAGCCAAAAGTGTGTGGAGAATAACACAGGGAGAATGGCATGGAAAACCCTGACTGAAATAAGTAGTAGGCGGACTCCTGGTGAAACAGTGAATCCAGGGGGCCAACCAGATACCAACGGCAAAAAAAAACAAAGGTGAAAACACAAAATATGTGGGTGAGTGTCAGGGAGCTTTGTGGGCATCTTTAGTATAAGTTTCTTTGTTTTACACTACAGACCTCTGCTGTAATGTGACTCTTAGATAGCAGGAGAGCTGTTCCCACCTAAGCTGGGGTCAAATGGCAGGGGCAGAACTCCCACAGATACCTCCCAGAGGATCACATCTCTACTTTGTAAATGACCAAACAGAACCCAAAAGTATGATGTTCCAGGGTCATAGGAAACTCATTAGTAAGACTTAATCTTTATTGTGCTAGGCTGTCTTCTGTGTTTAACATGTAGACAAGTCTACCACAATCCTATGAGGAAATCATTGTATTTCATAAAATCTACAGATGAGGATACTAAAACACAGAGAAGTCAAGTAAGTTACTCAAAGTAAATAAAAGAACCAAGATCAAGTGCAGACCCCTTGGCCTAAAGCCCAGATAGTTGACCAAGGTGACACCTGCCTACCTGGAGATAATCAGAATCAGATCTGGAACCCAGGTCCCGGACTCCCAGGCCAGTGATCCTGCATGCCCTCTAAGCTGCACCTGCTCCCCATGAGGTACAAGGACAACAGGACTTAGGGAAAAGGTTTGAAAAGTTAATAAACCTAGAAATTTGAAGAAATAAAAATGTCACAGTGTTTTGTGCTGTTTGGGGTTTGTCTGCTTGTAGGGTTAGGTCCTGGGAGGCCTTGTATGGGAGGCACTCTCTGCTGTAGGTTTCAAGATATTTAGGTCAGGACAGCCTGCTTCAGGTTCACTGTAAGGATCTTCAGTGCCTTCTATGAGCCCAGCTCACAAGACAGGAAAGAGATTAGCCAAAAGGAAAAGCCCTCAGCCTCGGGGAGGGTCTCTGCTGTGCTGCTAGAACCATGGTGGTGCTCCAAGAAGACATGTGACCCTAAGAAGGTTCAGGAATGATGCCTTCCAGCAGTACTCCTGTCTCCCAAATGAGTTCTCCCCCAGTCCATCCCTATATCCCCAGAACCACCAGTCAACCTGATAAATGTCCTATAAAAGACCACCAGGTCCCATTTGGTTCAGCTTTGAAAAGCAACATGAGCTTTCAAGCTTTCGTTAGAATGACCAACTCTCCTGGTTTGCTAGTACAGTCCGGGTTTTGAAGCTGACTACAGCTTCCCAGGAAAGCCCCCAGCAAAGAGCAAACCAGGAAGGCTGATCACCATGTGTCCAGATACTGGACAGCCTCTTAGGACAACTTTCCATGCCCTCAAACTCAACAGGTCAAAGGCCATCATAACAGGTAGGAGGCAGGAAATCACTTGTGCTTCCTCAACGGCAGAGGCCCTGATGGAAATAGCACAAGTTGACGGAGGCCAAATTTATGGCCATTCGTAGGCCACGGAGGAACTCACTGTGGAGCCTTTTTCCTGCCCTAGGGAATCTTGGGAAGAAAGGAAGGAAGGGCTTAGTCACACCCTAGGAGTGGCCGCCAAGAGCAGCCCTCGCTCCCCCTCTGCAAAGCACAGACCCGGCTAGAGAGCCTCTTTCTCAAGAAAAGTAGATGTTTCCCAGACTTCTCTCCGGTATTGCACTCAGAATGGCAAGTAACAAACTAGAGTGGGAGGAGAGGCGGCAAGAAAGTACAACCATCTCCCAATCTTGGAAAAGGCAGCTTCACCAACCCATTAGCTCCCTGAGCCTTTCCTGGACCAGCCAGCTTGGCTATACCCCAGGCCTCAGCCCCTCGGGAAACTCACCTGGGCCCCAGGGCAGACTCCGCTCCCCAGGGATACAGAAGCAGCCACCCATGTGTGCACCATCCTCCTGGGGCCAAGGCCCCTGGGAACACAAGTCAGAGGAGCCTTGGGAGCCTCCCATCGGTGTCCCGCCTCCCGCCTCCTCCCTGGCACACGAGGGACCTAAGGCTGCTCAATACACAATGCAGCCTTTGATATCCTGCAGCAATGCGGAGGCCAGGGAGGGTGGGTGGGGCCACCCTGCCTGGCTGCCTGATAGTCCTTGCACTGTCAAGCCCTAGCCTGGGGAGCAGCTCCTCCCTGCCTCTCTGCAGACTGCTTCTCGACTATCAGGCTGTGGCACATTCCTCTCATTCTAGGATCCAGAAACAGTTTGGTTCTTGTGCGGGGCGCCAGGGCAGAGGAGGGCAGCGAGCATCCAAGATATCAAGGCTGTTTGTTCTTGCTCTTGCTCTCTCCCAGATGGACTTAGCCCACGCAGACTCCCTTGCAGGCTCTTGGAAAGTCACCCTACCCAGCCTCTCTGCAAACTGCCTTCCTGGCTGTTCCATAAAGCTGGAGCTGTGAGTGCAGCATCTTGTAGCATCAGTGAGCCAGGCCTGGCTGGTAGATAGTATTGAACAGGCAAGTTCCCAGCCTGGAAACCCCACAGTCCCAGTGGAAGGGAATCCAGGAAGTCACCTGGTGTCACCCAGCACTTTATGGCTAAAGGGCTGGACTACCAAATACATTTAAGAGGACAGGTATGTGTGAAGAACTGGTCTCACTAGACAAGCCTCTTTTAATTTCAAATGGGCAGTGATACAGGCCAATGTCTATCACAAGGAGGCTGAATTTCGGAAAATCTGTGAGATCTACAGGTCGCACTGCATGTCTATAAGGCTATTCAGAGGCTGCACTGCTCTAACAAGCTGCAGAATCACTGGTCAGAGTTCCGGTCCTGCCCAGAGCAAAGGTACGTGGGAGCGGCCCAAGGACAAGGAGATACTTGCAGAGAGAGGCAAGGTCTGGGCAGGCTCGTGCCACAGGCTGGAGGCTGAACTCGCATGTCTCACAGTGTCTTAAGGAAGGGCAGTGGCCTGGTTAGGTTTATGTTCTGGGAGGAGCACTGGGTGACAGTGTGAAGGACAGAGGCAGAGTCAGTCTCCTTGGAGTAGTCAAGGGTGTCCACATCACTTACAGGCCCAATAGGGGGGCACACAGGATCTCCAGGAAGCCTCTGCTACAGTTACAAAGACTGTACCAGCTAGTTGCAGGGCCAACTGGTCCTGAATAAGTTGGGGACCGTTTGTTATGAGCCAGGCACTCATTATACATTACTTAAGTCTCATAAGAGCCCATATAATCTAAGCATTTTATTTTCTTTTTGTTAAGGGAGGAAATGGGTGAAGGGGACCATTTAACTTACCCAAATCTATATTCCATTTATGAATGTCAGACTCTGTACTTAGGTCCATTCTAGGTGATTCCACAGTTCTCAAACATCACCTTTCTGACACAGCATCCTCCCACCATTATCAGGACACAGTGAGGTATTCTTTCTGAGACTTCAGGACAAGCTATCCATGGTGGAAAGCACAAGAGAGGAGGGCTGGGGATTGGTGGAGCTCAGGGGACATACATGGCCCCTTGATCCATCCCACCTCCCTGGATAGGTGCCTTCTCCATGAACAACTGTTCTTATCTGCTTCTTATGGTTTGTGCCAAAGCCCAGGACAAATAAGCATGACTTCTCCCACCCAAGATGAAAGAGAAGTGTTCCTTAGAAAGCAAACACTCATTCAAAGACTCAGGGAGATATCTGAGAACCAGACAGTGAAGAGAAGCCATGCTCTGACCTCCATATGCAAATGAATATCCCTTCTCCCAAGCTTATCCATGTGCCACTCTTGTACAGCAGCCACAGCAATCAGAAATGATGAAGGATCAAGACTAGAATCAACTGTCCCAGAGGACACACTGGGGCAGCTGCTTAGGATGCACATTTCAGAATAGGTATTCTGAAATGGATACCCATTCTTAAGGAAGCCTCTGCTTCCCATGAGATGCAAAAAATTAGGTTCTGCTCGTGAACAGTTGAGATGAATTTATCAGAATAAAGAGATTTCTAGCAGGAGCAGAGGCTCTGAGGCAGGAGCCTTGTTTATATATTAAAGGAGTACAAGAGGCTAGGTGGGGTTTGGGAATGAGCTCAGAGAACACAGCAGCAGGCCAGACTCTGGTACCCACCATGCAAGAGCCTCAGCTAGCAATGGGCTCCTGAGGGCAAGCCACCAAGGCTCAGCATTGCTAACCTGGACCATCAAGCAGATTTGGTGCATCCAGTGCATCTTTTGACGTGATGTTTTCTTTCCTTTTATTTCTCTTTCCTTTTTTTTCAAGTTGAAAATGAAACCCAGGCAGGTACTCTACCCCTGAGTATATACTCCCAGCCCAGCTTATCATATTTTTTTTCTATTTTTTAAAAATTTTATATGTACGAGTGTATTGCTTGCATGCAAGTATACCCGTATGGGGCAATGCCCACAGAGATCAGAAGAGGGTGTTGGATCCCCTGGAACTAGAGTTAGGATGGTTGTTGGTCATCATGTGGGTCCTGGGAATTGAACCCAGGTCCTCTGGAAGAACAGGAAGTGTTCTTAATTGCCGAGCCATCTCTCCAGCCTCTAGTTCATCATATTTTTCTCTTAATGAGTTTCTTGAGATACATCTCCATCCTAAGTGACTTCACAGCCACATCCACTCTGGTGTTTGCTCAAAATCTGGGCACCATAGCCTATACTAGTTTGACACATAGAATTAATCATCCCAAAAGACAGAGTGTAGAGTGAAGGCATTAAGAGGAAAAGTCCAGTGAAAACAGTGTTAGAGCACAATCTGAATCTCTCTCTTTCTCTCTCCCCTTAAGAAGCAGCCTGTGAAGAGACTTGACAGCTCTAATTTATAGTACCTGGCTCCACCAGATTCCCTGTCAAAAACATTGTGGGTGGTGAGAAGTTTCACTATCCATAAAAAGTAATAAAGAGTCAGATCTTTCCTTTGGTCTAGAAATTCTTCTGAGACTCCTCAGGGGGATTTGCTGGGGAATCTAGTCCAGAGATGAGGGCTGATCTCGGAACAGGCTCCTTTGGCCTCTCTCTCTCTCTCTCTCTCTCTCTCTCTCTCTCTCTCTCTCCTCTCCTCTCCTCTCCTCTCCAGGCTTTGAAGAGAAGCCTCTCTCTCTCCATCTGAGGCCCTATCTTGTGTAGATATCTCTAAACACTGCATTGTTTTTGTCTGATGCTCTCCCTCCCACACTGAGGCTCTGTCATGGCCTTGAGGCCTTCTCGTGCTACTAAACCTCATTCCTGAGGGAATTATGTTTCAGCTTTCCATGCGTTGACAGCTTCCACTTTACTTGTTGTAGTTAACAGATACTTCTTAGTGTTTTCCGCTGAACAGCTAGAGCAGTAGTCTGATCATCTATTGAAACACTGGATCCTTAAAAAGAAACTGGGAGAGAGAGGCTGGCTTTCTAAGTGTGAAGCTCAAGAGCTCTTGATACACATATCTGAGCAGAAGCAGAAGAAGTAGGGAGCTCAGAGGGGCCTGGCCAACCAAAGATAGAAGTTTGGGAATTGTTAGCAGGGAAGTGTTTAAAATAGTCACAGGGCTAAAAGAGATGTTCTAAGAGAGAGCTGGGACAATAGCATTCAGAGAAAACAGGGAGACTTAAGCATACTGATTATTACAGGACAAAGAGGAGGGGTGCAGTGAGAGGATGAGTGTGGTGTCTCTACATCAGGGAACCACCATATCAATACAACATTCAACGGAGATGTGCGTGGACAACCTGCCACTGGCTGGCTCGGTGGAGAGAGAAGGTAGACTCTTGACTACAGAAGGTTTGGGGGCATAAAAGAGAAAGGGGAAACCTACATGTCACTTCCTTCAATGCCATCATCATCCAGTATTTATTCCCTTAGTATCTGTAGCTGAATGAGGAAAAATCGGTCTTCTCTAAGGAGTGATACTAGATAGGTTGACCAGGCTACATTGGATGGATTCACACCAAGGGACATTTGAAAACATACACTTGATTCGATAGGCCTTAACATACATGACAGAATGCAGGAAATCGGGCAGGGAGGGCTATGGAAGGGGCACAGATAGGGGAAGAGGTCTAAATATGATCAAGATGTATTGTATGAAATGCATAAAAATTTAATAAAAATTTTTAAATATATATATACACACAGATCTGGTGTTACAGCTAGTGTGAGTGAGTGATGCTGACTGGATGACAAGTGGCAGCTGACCCAGTTTTGGGACTGGGGACTGACAGGGAGAGGTGTGACACTCTGCCTCTGCCCAGCCTCAGAAAGCCCCTGCTGTACTCCAGGCCACCAGAAGCACAAGGTACTGAAGGGAGCGGAAACCCAGATCTGCAGGTGTGATTTCCCGACTCAAACATCCAGAAGATAACTCAAAGGATTCTTCCAGGGTGCTGAGTGCCCAGAACTATGGGGCAGAGATGCCTGCAGACCAAACCCGTCCTGCCAGCTATTGGTTTACTATTGTAAGTGTAAACTTTATTTTTTTCTTGGAAAATTTACAGTCTAGTCAGGGCAGTAATAATTTGAATACTAGGGGCTGAGAGCCTGTCTCTGTGATAGAGCATTTGCCTAGCACATGAAGGGCCCTGGATTCTATCCCCAGCATCACACACACACACATACACACACACACGAGTACTACACCTACAGGAAAAAACTGAAAAGATCCCGCTAAGTGTTGAATGATGTTCTCCATGAAAAATTCATAAACACTGAAATGGACCAGTGGTGGGGGGAGACAAGAGGGGGTGATGGGGGGCAAATATGAGCAAAGTACAATGATGCATGTGTGAAAATGTCATGATGAAACTCATTGTTTTATATGCTAACTTTAAATTTTAATTAAAATAAATCAACTTTCTCCTAATTGCAAAATTCCTTACTATAGAAAATCTGAGGGGGCTGGCAAGATGGTTCAATGGTTAAGAGCAGTGGCTGCTCTTGCAGAGGACCCAGGTTCAGTTCCCAGTACCCACGTGGCACTAATAACTGTCCGTAACTCCAGTTCCAGGGGATCCAGTGATAGATAA